CTGATCTCGAGCTCCTGACCTCGTGATGCACCCATCTCAGCATCCCAAAGTGCTGGGATTACAGGCGTGAGCCACCGCGCCCAGCCTATATATGTTTTAATCAACACTATCATCACACAGATTAAAAAACAGGCTTTTAAGGGCTTCGATATGTAAATTCATGGGAATAGTTTATTGTTAGCAGACAAACTGTGTATACATATATACACACACACACATACACATACACATATATGTATGTGTATATATCAATTACAGTGGCAGTGATAAAGCCAGTTAAAAGAGCTAAGATATGGCATATGCCTTCCTAGATACATGGGAGTGCTGAACATGGATAAATAATCATAATACAAGTTTGGCTGTGGTAAAAGATGTATTTGTGGAATCCAGATTATGGAATTACAATGGAGGAATTAACTCTGACTGGGAGGATCAGAAGAGTCTGCATTTTCACAGGGCTTTGGAGGACGGTAGGATCACCACTGACATAGATGGGAGAATGAGAGGGTCCTGGAGCTGGAAAATTAGATGGAGTAGGGCTGAGGTGGCCATTATGTGTCTTCTGTAACACTCCAGTCAGGAGGAAATAGAGATTTTAAGGCAGTTGAAGTAGCTGACAAGCAAAGAGGAAAACCGATCAGGCATTCTGAGAGAAGCAGAAGAACCCTGAGAGAGAGGAGATGAGAGAGTAGCTAGGCCCTTGATTTCTGCTCTTTTCGAAGTTTGGTTTTGTGCTTTTCTGAGTTTGCTATGTATATCCCTTTCATAGATTCCTGTTTTCCGGAAATAACGTAAGTCTCTATTCCTTGCAAGCAAACGGCCCTAACGGTGGATTTAATCATAACAGTGGATTTAATCCTGATAGCATTGCACAGCCATTAAAAGTTCTGGAGGAGGAAGATGACGTGATCAGACATACAATTTAGATAAATAAAACTCTGACAGCAGTGTAGAGCAGCGGTCCCCAGGCTTCTTGGTACCAGGAACTGGTTTAGAGGAAGACAATTTTTTCACAGAATGGGGGGGTAGGGAGGGGGAGAATGAGATGGGATGGTTTCAGGATGAAAGTGTTCCACCTCAGATCATCAGGCATTAGATTCTCATAAGAAGTGTGCAACCTAGATACCTCACATGTGCAGTTCACAATAGAATTTGCACTCCTATGAGCATACTCACAAACTTCTCCCTCATCTTTACCTCTAATTTTTGGCTATCTTTTCCCAATTTCCCTTGACTATATCATATATTTTCCTGATTTCAGCTGTTATCTCTGGGCAGATGACTCTTAAAGCTCTCTGGTGAGCTCCCAATCTCAGCTCTGCTGGACATCCTAATTGTCTGTTAAAACCCCTCAAAATGGTCTGGGCGCAGCGGCTCACACCTGTAATCCCAGCAATTTAAAAGGCTGAGGTGGGTAGATCACCTGAGGTCAGAAGTTCGAGACCAGCCTGGCCAACATGGTGAAACCCCTCTCTACTAAAAATACAAAAATTGGCCAGGCGCGGTGGCTCAAGCCTGTAATCCCAGCACTTTGGGAGGCCGAGGCGGGTGGATCACGAGGTCAAGAGATCGAGACCATTCTGGTCAACATGGTGAAACCCCGTCTCTACTAAAAATACAAAAAATTAGCTGGGCATGGTGGCGCATGCCTGTAATCCCAGCTACTCGGGAGGCTGAGGCAGGAGAATTGCCTGAACCCAGGAGGCGGAGGTTGCAGTGAGCTGAGATCGCGCCATTGCACTCCAGCCTGGGTAACAAGAGCGAAACTCCGTCTCAAAAAAAAAAAAAAAAATACAAAAATTAGCCATATGTGGTGGCATGCTTCTGTAATCCCAGCTATTCAGGAGGCCGAAACAGGAGAATCACTTGAACCTGGGAGGTGGAGTTTACAGTGAGCTGAGATTGTGCCACTGCACTCCAGCTTGGGCAACAGATTGGAATAGATATAGGACAAAGCCAGTTATTGCAAGGGGTGTATGTTTAGATTTTGGAAAGGCTGCTAAGACATTGAGTAAACCTGACTAAGATAACTGGGATAATTATAAGACTAGAAGTCAGGAAGGGATTGGGCTAAAAGAGAAAGGACACTGGACACAACATTTTATTTTTGGTAGAGGTAGAGATGGGGTCTCCCTATATTAACCAGGCTGGTCTTGAACTCCTGTGCTCAAGGAATCCTCTTGCCTCTGCCTCCCAAAGTGCTGGGATTACAGGCATGAGCCACTGCACAGTGCCCTGGACACATTTTTAGAAACCCAACAGAAAATTGTATATGTTCAGTAGTGATAAATTGCATACAGTTTTGTAAATCTAGAAATAGGGATTGAAGAGCTTGGAGGCAACCGGGTAAAGCAGAGGCAGAGGCATGAGAAATGGAATGGGTTTAAAGAGTGTCAGGATGGCTGGGCCAGTGGCGCATACCTATAAACCCAGCCCTTTGAAAGGCTGAGGCAGGAGGATCGCTTGAGCCCAGGAGTTTGAGGCCAACCTAGCAAACATAGGGAGACCCCCATCTCTACAAAAACTTTAAAAATTAGCCTGGCACAACCAACAGAATGGGAAAAAAAATTTGCAGTTTACTCATCTGACAAAGGGCTGATATCCAGAATTTACAAAGAACTAAAACAGATTTACAAGAACAAAACAAACAAGCCCATTCAAAAGTGGGCAAAGGATATGAACAGACACTTTACAAAAGAAGACATACATGAGGCCAACAAACATATGAAAAAATGCTCATCACCACTGGTTATTAGAGAAATGCAAATCAAAACTACATTGAGATACTATCTCATGCCAGTTAGAATGGTGATCATTAAAAAATCTGGAGACAACAGATGCTGAAGAGGATGTGGAGAAATAGGAGCACTTTTACACTGTTGGTGGGAGTGTAATTAGTTCAACCATTGTGGAAGACAGTGTGGCGATTCCTCAAGGACCTAGAAATAGATATTCCATTTGACCCCGCAATCCCATTACTGGGTATATATCCAAAGGACTATAAATCGTTCTACTATAAGGACACATGCACACGAATGTTCACTGCAGCAGTGTTTACAATAGCAAAGACATGGAACCAACCCAAATGTCCATCAATGATAGACTGGACAGGGAAAATGTGGCACATATACACCATGGAATATTATGCAGCCATCAAAAACGATGAGTTCGTGTCCTTTGTAGGGACGTGGATGAACCTGGAGACCATCATTCTCAGCAAACTGACACAAGAACAGAAAATCAAATGCCGCATGTTCTCACTCATAGGTGGGTGTTGAGCAATGAGAACACATGGACACAGGGAGGGGAGCACTACACACTGGGGTCTGTTGGAGGGAATAGGGGAGGGACAGCAGGGGGTGGGGAGTTGTGGAGAGATAGCATGGGGAGAAATGCCAGATATAGGTGAAGGGGAGGAAGGCAGCAAATCACACTGCCACGTGTGTACCTATGCAACTGTCTTGTATGTTCTTCACATGTACCCCAAAACCTAAAATGCAATTTAAAAAAAGAAAAGAAAACAAAATTAGCCTGGCATGGTAGCATCTGCCTGTAGTCCCAGCTACTTGGGAGGCTGATGTGGGAGGATCCTTTGAGCCCAGGAGTTCAAGATTGCAGTGACCCATAATTGTGCCACTGCACTACTGCACACCAGCCTGGGTCACAGAAGGAGACCTTGTCTCTAATAAAAAAAAATTTTTTAACAAAAAATAAAGGTGGCTGGGTACAGTGGCTCATGCCTATAAATCCCCACACTTTGGGAGGGCGAGGTGGCTGGATCACTTGAGGTCAGGAGTTTGAGACCAGCCTGGCCAACATGGCAAAACCCTGTCTCTACTAAAAATACAAAAATTAGTCGGGCATGGTGGTGGGTGCCTGTAATCCCAGCTACTCGGGAGGCTGTGGCAGGAGAATAGCTTGAACCGGGGAAGCAGAGGTTGCAGTGAGCCAATCATCTCACTGCACTCCAGCCTGGGCGACAGAGCGAAACTCCATCTAAAAAAAAATAAATAAATAAAAAAGGGAGTGGGAGTCAGGGTGCACAGAGAATTGTGGCAACCTCCACTTCTGTAAACATTGACAAGTTAAAAAAAGCTTAAGGGTTGCTGGTCCGGCCACCTAGCGTGGGAGAAAAGAAATGAAGCCATCAGTCCCAAGTGAGTTTAAGTCTTCACTGTCTGAGTCCCATAGCAGATAAGGATGGCCAGGTTGTTAAACTCCTAGCTGATAGCCTCAGAGATAATTTCCCTGCACTTGGCTTTCACATTCAATCTCTCCCTCATACATTAACAGATAAATCTTAGTGCATCTTAGCTCTGACTTTGTCAGAACTAAGAAATGCTCTCACTTGCCGTGGACTGAAGAGTAAAATCTCAATAAAATCTGCAGCCTAGCTTTCCAGGAACCATGATAGATATAAAAAGAAATGGACTTTGGAACAGAAGACCTGGGTTGAGACATTGGTTCTGACAACTGTATGAGACTTGGGTCAAGTTATTTTCATTCTGAGTCAGTTTCCTCATGTGTAAAATAGCTAGGACTCATTTTCACACAGCTGTTGAGAGAGATAAAGCAGACAAATATGTCTGCTACCTCACTCAATTTCCTACTTTCCTTACTTTCCAATCCAGTTTCAACCTGCTTTCTAACGTTCCTTTTGTTAGTATTTCTCTTCATGCACTATTTGTTCTAGCCAAATAGAACTGCTTACTTCTCTAGTGTCTCTCCAGATGCTTTGGAGATCTCTGCCTGGGTTCATTTGCTATTTCACTGTATGCATCCAAAAAGTATTCACTAAGCATCTGCTCTGTGCCAGGCACTCTTTCAGAACCTGGAGATCCTGAAGTGAACAAGCTACATAGAGTTGTCCTTCTAGATTGTGGTCCCCCTCTATAGACTGCTCTTTTCCTTTACACATTGAAATTTAGACTATTTCAAAATTTAACACAAATGCTTTTTCTTTCATGCATTCATTCAGCAAGTACTTGCTGAACACTTACCGTGTGCAGAGTCCTGGCTTAAGCAGTAAGAACACAATTATGAAAAAGATACTCTTCATTCAGCATGTGGGCTGCGGAGGACATGGAAAAGTAAAGAGACTAAAATGAAGGTACAATAAAAAAGCACCCAAAAGGAGGTGATACTTCCCCCTTTCCCACATCACAGCACACACAGGAAGAGACTGCTCGTGACTGGCGTGACTGGCCAGGATGACTGGCTGCCCCAGGGTTTGCTGTTTCAGCACACCTGTAGGAGATTCAAGAACTACTATGCCAGGCATGGTGGCGTGTGCCTGTAATCCCAACACATTGGGAAGCTGAGGTGCAAGAGTCACTTGAACCCCGGAGTTTGAGACCAGCCTGGGCAACATGGTGAGATGCCATCTCTTCAAAAAATTTTAAAAATTAACTGGGCATGGTGGCAGGCACCTGTGGCCCTAGCTACTGGGGAGGCTGAAGTGGGAAGATTGCCTGAGCCCAGGAGGTCCAGGCTGCAGTGAGCTGTAATTGTATCAGTGAACTCCATCCTGGGCAACACAGTGAGACTCTGTCTCAGAAAAAGAGAAGGAAGGAAGGGAGGGAGGGAAGGAGGGAGGGAAAGAAAGAAAGAAAAATGGGAAAGAAAAAAGAAAGAAAGAAAAAAATAAAGAAAGAGAAATACTCTTTTTTTGTTTTGTTTTTGAGACAGAGTTTTGTTCTTGTCTCCCAGTCTGGAGTGCAGTGGTGCCATGTCAGCTCACTGCAACCTCCACCTCCTGGATTCAAGCAATTCTCCTGCCTCAGCCTCCTGAGTAGCTGGGACTACAGGCATGCACCACCACACCCAGCTAATTTTTTTTTTTTTTTTTTGTATTTTTAGTAGAGAAGGGGTTTCACCATGTTGCCAGGATGGTCTCCATCTCCTGATCTTATGATCCGCCCACCTCAGCCTCCCAAAGTGCTGGGAATACAGGCATGAGCCACCTCACCTGGCCTGCCTGTGATCAATTTTTAATTGTTTGTGATGCAGGGGATCATAGTTCATTTTTCCCACATAGGGATATCTATTTTCTTCATCACCTTTTATTGAAAAGAACTTGCTTTCCCCACTAAATTGGTGTCTTTGTTGAAATCGAATAATAAATGGATCTTTTCCTGGCCCCTCTATTTAGCTCCATTTATTTGTCTGTCCTGCCAAAACCACACTCTAGTGTATAGTAAGGGGGGATATTTTGAAAGATCAACAAATTTATCTTGTGTCACTTACTTTTATGTATGCATAAGAATAATATTTGGTTAAAAAAATATGGTTAAGTCTAAAAGAACTCTTTCAGTAGTAAAGAAATAACTGAATCACTGAAATCCACCACACTCGGCCCCATTAGTAATGGTTTATAACATCTTTATTTGGATCTAGCTCTTTCATCCTGTGTGACTCTTTTAAGTAAATGACTCCTCCCTTCTGGTACAGGTTGAATATCACATAAAAGGGTGCCTTGGCATGTACTCATCCTGAAATTCTACTTTGTTCTACTGCTCTCATCTTTGAAACTGCTCTGAACTCTCCCCAAATTATTGATCCTATGGGCCTGATTATGAACTTGGCTTCTGACAATGCTTCTCAAAACCTGTTACCTTTGTACCTTTGGTAACGTCTCTCTTGACTGGCAGAGTACCCAGACACTTACTAGTGCTGATGAAAATTAACATTTAAGTAAAGAAGAAATTAATTTAAGAATGCAGCTAGGCTCATGCCTGTAATCCCAGCACTTTGGGAGGCCGAGGCAGGTGGATCACAAGGTCAGGAGTTCAAGACCAGCCTGGTCAACGTGGTGAAACCCCGACTCTACTAAAAATACAAAAATTAGCTGGCCGTGGTGGCGAGCGTCTGGAATCCTAGCTACTCAGGAACTGAGGCAGGAGAATCCTTTGAACCCGTGGCGGAGGTTGCAGTGAGCCAAAATTGCACTCCAGCCTAGGCAACAGGGCAAGGCTCTGTTTAAAAAAAAAAAAAAAAAAAAAAAAAGAATGCAAGAAACCTTGGGATCTGAAACTTGATGACTGTGGGATCTAATTTCTTCTTCTGTTGCTACAGGCTCCATTCTACCATAATCAACTTTCCAAGACAAATCGTTTGATGAATCTCTGTATTGTTAGAATGTTTCTTTGATTTCTCATCAAAGCCACGTATGTATAACTAGTAATTAGGTACCTATAACCTGAATATAAATTATCATGATTTCAGTGGCCCTTTATTGCTTGTTTTTTGTTTTGTTTTCGAGAAAGGGTTTCACTATATTGCCCAGGCTAAACTTGAACTCCTGGGCTCAAGTGATCCTCCTGCTTTAGACTCCTGAGTAGCTGGGACTACAGGGATGTGCCACCATGCCCAGTGAAAGCCCTTTATTTTAAAAAATTCATTTTCCTGCTCTCTACATGTATTTTAATACTAAAATTCAATTTAAAAATTTTTACAAGTACCTACTAGCCAATTAATGCCACCCAATAATAGCATTATTTGTATTATGTTCTGGTAATACAGCGGTAAACAAGGAAGACAGGGTCTCTGATAATTGTGGAATTCTCCTTGATCCCTTCTCAAGCCTCTCTTCTGGATATCCACTATTTCTTGGATCTACAGCTCTCTCCCTTCCCCACTTTGTAGTTCAGTCTCTCATTATCGTCTATCTCCAATAAAAAAGGGCCTCCTAACTAGTTTCTTATCCATGCAACAATTCAGCATAATTCTAAAATGCAGATCTTTCGGGACGATTTGCAATTGCTCACGGAATAAATTAATCGACTTCCTATGTAAGCCTCTGCTAGACCAGGCCCCTGTCATGATCTCTGGGCACTCTCCATCTTGCACCCAAAGTCCAGCAATCTCTTACTGCTTGCAGTAAATACACACCAGGGTATGTGGGGTTTTGTCTGGAGAAAAGGGATGTGAGGATCAACTAGATTTACAGTCAGTCTTGAAGCGAATAGTTCATGTCGCAGGCAGGCAATGGAATGCCTCAAGCTGGCTCTAAAAGTACGCCTGTTTTCCAGTCGTAAATAAATCACATTTGTGTGATCTTGTGATCCCCTCTCTAGCACAGCCGTGCAGACGACCTACTTCCAGCCCTCTCTTGCCCCACGAAATTTCACATCACAATGAATTGTGGTTTTAATCCTCTGTTTTTCTGCTTCTGAAGTTACTTCAGTCTGAGAAGTCCTTTACCTCCCAATAGGCCTGGCGAGCTCTATCCCAACGTTCAAGATTCAGCCTAGAGCCATCTGAGAAACTTTATTTCCAGCTCGCCCTGGCCTCCTCTTCCCTGCGCGCTTCTCGAGTCGGGTGCGCTGTCTAGTTCAGCCGGCACGACCGCAAGAGTGGCTGGTTATTTACTGCTCAGCTGGGCCGGTGAGCCACCCGGGAACCGGAGCCAATGCAGACGCTCTGCACGCCCCGCTACGAGCAGCGGGAGCCCGACCTCCAGGCCGGAAGTGAAAGGGCAGGGAGTGGGTCCTCCCGGGGTCGCAGGCGCAGAGCCGCCTCTGATCACGTGATACGCCGATGGTCACGGGGGCGCCGCTCACCTGACCAGGGTCCCACGTGGCCAGCCCCCTCCAAGAGGGGTGACCGGCGGGCCATGGCGAGCTCCGGGCTTTGGTTTTCGCTGCTGCTGGCGGCAGCGTTCGTTGGGCGGGTGACGGCCCTATGGCCCTGGCCCCAGAACATCCAAACCTCCGACCGGAGCTACGTCCTTTACCCGAACAACTTTCAATTCCAGTATGATGTCAGTTCGGCCGCGCAGCCCGGCTGCTCCGTCCTCGATGAGGCCTTCCGACGCTATCGGGACCTGCTTTTCGGTTCCGGGTCTTGGCCCCGTCCTTACCTCACAGGTGAGTTGGACTTGTCCCGCCCTGTTCCCAGGCCCTGAGAGAGCCTGCCTGGGGACAGCTCCCCCAAGGCTCCGGAGACGCCCTCTGGGCTTTTGCCCAGCCCTCTGATCGCAGGCACTCCACTTCCTCCTCGAGCTGTATTAGATTTTCATCCAGTGACACCAACTGTAGGACAGTAGGTATCCACTGTCAATCAGGAGATCAATTTATTGAAAATACTGTGCCAGCAGAAATCCAAGGTTCTGACCATGTTCAAGCGATGCGGGATCCTAGTGAGGCTGTGACCAAGGTCTGGGTAGAGGAGACGAGAGAAAACACGCCATCCAAGTCAGACATAATGCAGGAACTATGCAAAATTACATAAAGTGTCTAACACATAGAATGTTCGGCGGGCGGATCACGAGGTCAGGAGTTCGAGACCAGCTTTGCCAACATAGTGAAATCCCGTCTCTATTAAAAATATAAAAATTAGCCGGGTATGGTGGCGCGTGCCTGTAGTCCCAGCTACTCGGGAGGCTGAGGCAGGAGAAGGGCTTGAACTCGGAAGGCAGAGGTTGTGGTGAGCCGAGATCGAGCCACTGCATTCCAGCCTGGGCGACAGAGGAAGACTCCGTCTCAGAAAAAAAGAAAACGTGTAAGCTGTGAAAGAAATCACAAAACATTTCTGTAAGGAAGTGAGTTTCCAGCGGCCACTTGGAATAGGGTGGTAGACGTAATTAGCCGGGACTGAAAAGAGGGTATTCCAGGCAGGAAAAAAGGCTTGAACAAAGGCACAAAGAGTTATGATTGAGCTCAAAGTTCAGGTCTGGTGGATGTGATGAGGGTGGGGGCTGGGATTAAGGAGTGATAAGGGTGGGGAAAGTATGGGATTGAAATGAAGAGTCGAGTCCTTAGGCATTGGTTTTATATAAAATGGAAGGGGCTAACAGTTTTCTTTTAGGCAGCTGTGTAATCAGTACTGAAAATTGCATCTGAGGATAATTATTCCACAGCACATTTATAAGTCGAGTCAACAATGGAAAGGAATACAATTCTGCTTCATGGATTCAAAATTTAAAAGTTTCTTGATAATCTCCTGGAATCTAGCTCTTTGATTATATTGTATAGATGTTATGGGGGTGGGAGCCATATTTACGGTTGCGTCATATAGTAATATTTCATATGGTGTTTCAAGTGTGCTTAAATTATTTTCACAAAAGTTATCATTTGATATATAGAATTAAAAGCATTTAATTAAACAGATGATCCTTAGTGGGTGACATTTGATTTAGGGAAAGAAATACAATCTCAGCATCAGGGTAGTCCTTAACTGATAAAATGCATTAAGCTGGAGAGTAGCACCTGGTGCTACGTCTTTCTTTCTTTCTTTCTTTTTCTTTTTTTGAATCTGCCTGCCTTCCAGACATTTCTCAGGATAACAAGAAAATGGTTATGAATATCTTTTCAGTCTTTGAAGGAGGGTATAATAGTGGGAAGAACTTGGTGATTTCAAAAATAAAACAATAAAATTTAAAAGTTCGAGCCCCAGAGATGCCCTTCCTTCCATTTCCTTCTATCCCACTTCCTTACCTCCAAATAGAAGTGAGAAGCATAGCACTGGAAAGTTTCTGACAATTGATTCCTTATTGTTTTGTTGTTATTTGTTTTTAACAGTCCATGCTAGGGCATATTCTCCGTTTCTTAGCCTGTTAAAGACATAAGCCTCAATCCCTTTCCTGTTGATGATATAGAAGGAAAGGAGTTTTACTGCCTTACCAGTACTTCTTTTAAGAAATAAAGCTGGGCGTGCTATCTCATGCCTGTAGTCCTAGCTACTCCAGAGGCTGAGGTGGGAGGATGGCTTGAGCTCAAGAGGTAGAGGCTGCAGTGAACCGAGACTGTGTCACTGCACTCCAGCCTAGACAGCAGAGCCAGACCTTGTCTCAAAAAAACAAAAACAAACACAAACCAGAAACAAAAACAAAAGAAAGTGGTCACTCCTATGTTTCTGCAGTTTCCTAAATTTCTTCTACTGGCCCTGAAAATAAGTGATAAAATAGAGTCAATTTACATCATCCTCAAGAGGTTTCGCAACCTTTGTGGGGCCGCTGCCAGCAAAATCAGCTGAAGGAATGAAGTAGGGTCTGTAGGGGTAAGAGAGGCGCATGTTTGAAGAGTTTTCTGTGGTGTGAACTGTCTCAAGTTTTACGTGTTTACAGTCTATTGTAATAGAGAAGTGGATTATATTTTCTTCTCTATTCCTGGCTGTAATGAATAAAACCCATTATTGGGTCAGGAACTTGAGTCTTCTCTCTTCATGTCCACTGTTCCTGTTTTAAGCTATGGGCATTTGCTGAAGCTTCCTGGCCACACACTCAGCCCTGATCCCCAGCCAACTGTGTGGTATGTTATTGTTGTGTCCACATCTTGAGGCTGGCTAGGCTTGGGTGTGGTGTAGACCTCCTTCCTGTGGAAGTGTGTACTCAAATGCAGAACATATGGGTGCTTGTCAGATTGGCTGTCATTAAGCAGCCTTCACCTTCTTTTGTAAAGCTCTTGGGATTGAGGGGGTAAGGGAGATGGCTTACTAAATACACTGTGTTATACATGAAAAGTTTAACTACTATACTGTTCAACCTTGTCCTTGTTGTAACTAGGACTCCACATTAGTGGCTTTGTTGTTTTGCCTGGAGCTGCAGTCCTAGGTTGGAGATTCAGAGTTCCAAGGCCATGTCCCTTTTATATGTTGAAGTGTCAGCCTGTTCACATACAGAGTGGCATCTCACAATAGTGAAGCCTTCAGTTGCCTTAACAAGTTTATGAAAAACCCTTCAAGGAAGCTGCTCCTAGAGTGTGGTGCTGCCATAGGAGACCCTGCCCCAGGACTCCTCTGGCCAAATGAGAGAGTGGAGGTTTGCTGGGGCAAAACTGTCTTATTGGAAAAAGGGAAGTAGAACACAGAAGGAAACTAGCATTTTCTGACTGTCAGGCACTTGATATGTGTTATTGCCCTTTGATCTTCTTAACAGCTCTGTGAGGTCAGTGTTATCCTAGTCTTTCAGAATGGACACATAGAGGCTAAGTAACATACCCAGGGTTACACAGCTGGTAGGGGTGGAGCAGAAATTCCAGTCATGCATAGATTTTGCTCTTGTCACTGTACAACATTGTGGTATACTCATACATGTCTTTGTCAAGCCAGTTAGCAATTTGGAAAACTACTGGCCTCTGGAAGGATTGAGCTCTGACCACATCTTAGCGTTAATTACTTCAAATAGGTAGTAACTTCCAACATCTAGTTGCTTATTCATTAGCACTCAGGTTATGAATATTTTTATCCCTGGTCCACTGTTATCAGATTCCAGTAGCATTTCTTCCTTCCGCCTATCCATTCTTAGCACAAGTAGTATTTATCAAGTAACTTTAATTGTCAATAGCACTAGGCCCACCCCCAACCCCGCATGGAATGTTAAATTGAACACTCCCACCCCCCATCCTTAAAGAATTTACAATTCCTGGAAATGGGGATACAGACAGACAAAGTGTGATTTTTTCCTATGATAACTGAAGCGCAAGGTGCTTTGGGAGTGCAGAAGAGGAACACCTGACCTAGTGTGTGGGGGAAAAGGGGAAGGTGCATATTGAAAAGGCTTTCCTAGAGAGCTGTTGAATGAGATCTAAAAGTAGAAGTTGATGGGGGTGAATATAGTATTCCACATAGAAAGAACGGTGCGTGGTAGAGGCCTGCAGGCGAGAAGCCCACATGCCATATTCAAGGGACTCAGGATGTCTAGCGGAAGTACACAACTCTAGGGTGGATCAGCAAGTTCTGAAGCTAAAGAGGTGACAGATGGAAAGGTCATGAAATGGCCTAGTAAGCCCTGGTAAGGAAGGGAGCTTTATCCTAAGGTCAAAGAAGGCCAGTAAAGTCCATTCAAGAGATAGGTGATGTGTCTAAACTCTGGCTACATTGGGGCTTGCCGGAGGGTGGGATTAGAGGTGGCAACCCCAGTTAAAAGGCTGCTAACAGTGGTGTAGATAAGAGGGAATAGTGACTGAAGTCCGGTTGATGGCTGTAAGCAGAAAGAAAACTATAAAGACTGAAGAGAGACTTAGGAGGTGGCTGCTTGGAAGTGGGAGTGAGGTTGGAGGGAGAGGGTGCTGAGGATGACTCACAGATTTCTGCCTTAGCAATTTGAATGTTGGCTCTCATTCACTTGTGCTGCCATTAACAAAGATAGGGAAAACAGTAGGAGAGGAAGGGAAGGAGTAAAAAGAGAGCGAAATTGATTAAGAGGTTGAGAGGCAGAGTGAGAATCGTGAAAAGTAAATCTGGTTTTGACGTGTTGACTATGAGGTATCTAGCAAACAGTTAGCTGTATAGTACTAGAGCTCGGAAGGATGAGTCTGAACACTTCCTGGGGAGAAGAAGATCCAAAGGCAACCACGGGAGGGTTGTTGAGAAGGAGGAGGATGTTGTTGGATGACTGCTAAGCCAGAACGTGGGTTAGTTCTTCGTCTTGGGTGTGAAAAATCATCTAGGATGATAGTCAGCCTTGGGATGGAGAGGAATACTGGGCACCAGGACCCAAAGTATTAAGGAAGTAAAGCTGGGTACAGTGGCTCACAGCACTTTGGGAGGCTGAGGCAGATGGATCACTTGAGGTCAGGAAATTCGAGACTAGCCTGGCTAATGTGGTGAAACCCCATCTAATTTGTAAAAATACAAAAATTAGTTGGGTATGGTGATATACACCTGTAATCTCAGCTACTTAGGAGGCTATGGTGGGAGGATCGCTTGAGCCCGGGAGGCAGAGATTGCAGTGAGCTGAGATCGCGCCACTGCACTCCAGCCTGGGCAGTGGAGCAGGACTCCATCTCAAAAAAAAAAAAAAAAAATTAAGTGAATAAAGAAGTGATCAAGAACCTGCAGAGTATTGTAACAGAGAACTGGAGATTTAACAGCTGAATGACATGAACCACAGAAGAAAGGTGTTTTACTACTTGGTGGTGGTGGAATG